AGAGATGAAGAAGCAGCTTTTTAGAAAGCTAGATCATGCAGAGAAATTTCAATTTATACTTGTGAGGGGCAGCCCCGGTAGCGCAGCGGTTTAGCGACGCCTGCAGCCCAGGGCGTGATCCTGGACACCTGACGACGCCTGCAGCCAGGCGTGATCCTGGACACCCTGATCGAGTCCCACGTCGGGCTCTCTGCATGCAGCCTGCTTCTCCCTCTGCCTGTGTCTCTGCCTCTCTGAATAAATAAAATCTTTTTTTAAAAATTTTATACTTGTGAGAAGTTTGCCACGTTCACAGGAGACAAGATGTCCTACAGCGGTCTTCTTACGGTTTCAAAGACTGCAGGCAGAATTTTATAAAGCTCTAAAATACTTTCCTCAAAAAAACTGGGTTCATTACAAGTTAGGTTGCTTCCTTAAATACTACCTAACTGTCATGAGCCTTTCACCATAGCCACTTGAAGCATGGAGTGCTAACCACCTACTGAACTACTCGTCTAATTTCCTCAAGCATTCAAGCCCCGACAAAGCAAAGATTTTACACAAGTTCTACCCACAGCACACTTCTCTGTGAGCTTGCATCCGGGTCCACAATGCTCTGAGAGCAAGTGCTGTGTCAGAGCCTTTGCAGTCTCAGGTTTCCAAAGTGGTATTGAACTCCACCATGGTAAACACACAGCTGACCTCATAACCTTCAATTGTCCAGAACCTGCTAAGAAAACCATATTTTACCATCTTTTGGTAAATATGGTTCCTCAAAACTGAGGAGAAAACTAATTCCAAACACGGTCAACAATGCTTGTTTCATACAGCATATTATTTCCTTAGGATTAATCAATCCTAAATCTGACAAAATTTGAAATGGGTTTACTAATAATTAGCCTCTGGGACATGACCTAACCCACACACACCATATCATCTTAGGGAGAAAAATTAACAAGTGATTCTCAATTAAGGGACACTTGACAATGCACAATTTTACTCACTACTGGAGGGAAGGGAGCAATCACCTAGTAGAGGCCAGCAATACTGCTGAATACACTACAATGCACAGGACAGTTCAGAACAAAAAATTATCGAGCCCCAAATGTCCACAGTTCTTTAAGCTGAGAAACACTGCTTTACACTAAAGCTCTATATTAGATGTTTAGGTCTCACCAAATGAGAATTCAATCTCAAAATCTAGATAATTCTCCCTTGGCCATTTCTTTTCATAGCCAAAAAACTTGAGCAGATTATGACCTACTAAACTAGAATTCACAAATAAGGATAAGACATGATGTACAAGTTACTGATCCAGAACTAAGGTCTGGGAGGCTCTGATTAAGTCCTACTTCTGGAGCATAGAAAATTAAGGGAAAAATGAAGTCAACCATTTACGTATTAACTTCAAGTCCACAAAAATTAGTAAATGCGGACTTGCTATATATCATTAAAAGTTCAAGACCGTTCCTTTTTGTAACACAAATTCTAAGTCACTCTTCACCAAAGCTGAGAGTAGGGTCTCTACAACTTCCACACCAGCTAAACACACACACACACACACACACACACACACACACACACACACACACACAGCACCTGGGAGGCACAGTTACACATCTGACTCTTGGTTTTAGCTCAGGTCATCATCACAGGGTCCTGGGATCAAGCCCCACACTGGGCACCACACTCAGGGTGGAGTCGGCCTGAGATTCTATCCCTCCTTCCCTTCCCCGTCTAAGATAAATAAAACTTTTAAATAAGTAAAAAAATAAAAAATAAAAATAAAAAAACAACTACCTGCAAGCTAGAGCAGCACCATAAACATTAATGACTGGCTGAGGAGACACCATCCACCCAAAGTCCACAAAACCAACTAGTGAAAAGGTCAAGCTGTAATAGCGGTAGTGGGGAGGGGTATCACCATGCACAGCTTTTCTTAGGTGTTAAAACTTAACCACTCCAGCAGCAATTTAAGATTAAAAAAAAAGTGGAGAAGCAATCAGGACCTACATTCAATTTACCATAGGTTTGCTAAACTAGCAGGAAAGAGATTCGTCACCTTAGAAAGATATACAATGAATCTGTTAGTAGAAACTCAAACATGCTGCCCACCTATTTTAAGGACTTCGCAAAAAGGCGGCCCAGGTTAACTATCTCGGCAGGAACAACTTTCTGCATAATCTTCGATTGTATTCCCCTACCCACAAAAAAATCCAGATAAATACAATCTTTCCTCTCAGTAGAGGAGTTAAAAAAAACAATCATGTATCTTTTCTCCCAAACTGCTTTCTGGGAAAAGAGATATATCCTTACACCCTCAACTAATGGATATAACTAAACGGAAGTATCAGGCTACCAGATACAAACCAATATGCCTTTTAGTTTTGCTAAACAAGCAGAAAAGAGTACTTACTACTCAAGCATTCAAAATACTTGATTATGTTCCCTACTTTATTAGTGAATCTAAACTCCATGAACCCCCATCCTCATGTAAATCCCTAAGTAATTAGGGGGGAAAGTTTATATGTAAGACATTTTTTTTGTAAAAATATAAAATAATTCAGTTGATTAACAAAGCTATATAATGGAAATAGTTTGCCTAAGATTTGACTTCCTGTTATTACACATTTGTCCCAAACTCCCTTTTGCTGAAGAGTGAAAACCACCTAGACTTGATCCACAGCACAGAGCTACTAGCATCAGATACAAGAAAGCAAAATGAAGCCAAGAGTTAGAGTAGTAGGGATCCCTGGGTGGCGCAGTGGTTTAGCGCCTGCCTTTGGCCCAGGGCGCGATCCTGGAGACCCAGGATCGAATCCCACGTCAGGCTCCTTGTGCATGGAGCCTGCTTCTCCCTCTGCCTATGTCTCTGCCTCTCTCTCTCATTCTGTGTGACTATCGTAAATAAATAAAAAAAAAAAAAAAAGAGTTAGAGTAGTATTTTATTAGGCTTCATTATTTCCCAATTTCTGTAACTTAAAAAAAATAATCCTTTCCTGTATCCACTAAAACAGAAGGAAATAGCCTTTACAATCCTTCAATTCTGTTGGGAGCATCACAGTGGTAGGAAAGTTATTTTAAAAGCCAGCTACAGGGGGTCCCTAGGGGGGCTCAGCGGTTTAGCGCCTGCTTTGGCCTGGGCGCGATCCTGGGGTCCCTGGATCGAGTCCCGCGTCGGGCTCCCGGCATGGAGCTCTATCATAAATAAATAAAAATAAATATTAAAAAAAAAAAAAAAGAAAGCCAGCTACAATATACTGTAGTAACAAAACAGTTAAGTCCTTTTAAATAGCTGTATGAAACAGATTCCGGATCAAGAGGAGAGGTTACCAGGTGGGGAAAAAAATATCGCTGTCCAAAATCCCTGAATTTCTATAGAGAAAACTACAGAACGCTACAAAGAATCATGATCTCGAGTTTCCACTTCTAGTTTGGTCAAAAACAAAAAGCAGAAAACACTACTTCAGCTTGGGGTGTTTAGATCTCCTTCGCACATAAAGTCGCATTTCCAGAACGCAGCACGGATACTCTTGTTGGAAGGATCCCGCTGGCCGCTGGCCGGGTTACCTGCGGCACCCACTACACGTGCGGCGGATCAAAGGTCGCTTTCAACCTCCGAGTAGATGTGACTAAAATGCCTTCCAGATTACTCGCATTTGAGAACGCTCTGTATTCTTAAGATTTTTTTCATTTTCTGTCAGGAACACTTCCCTGGTGATGATTTTGCACCTAACGTGGCTCGTACCCACCTCTATCAACCAATGAAAGTAGAGACCTCTCCTAATCGTTAACCGGCTATAGTAACCTAAGCTCACGCCTCAAGATTTAAGGGGCGTGCGGGCAGCTTACGTAAGCAGTTTTCAGAAGGAAAAAAATAGTCCAAATATTCGAGCACCTACTAAAAAAGGGCAGAATTCCCGCAGTGACGCATTTGGTGCTGATAAAGTTCTAAAGATGTTAACATGCTTCAGATTTGACTTGAGGTAATTTCCCCAGTATCTGGGCCAACAAGAGCTTCGGGGGGGGGGGGCACAGCTCGAAGGCGAAGCAACCAAAAGCTGCCATATACTGCACGTCAAGCGGGTTTCAGATTCCCCGCCCAGTCTTTACAAAGCCGGAGGAGTTTTCACAACTTTCTACGTGAGGGCACGTCCTCGAGCCCCCCGAGAGAAGCTCCGGAGACTCAGCCGCGCGCCCTCGTTAGCCGGATCCCCGGCCGGTCCCGCGACGCTGTTTCTCGCCTCGGGTCTGCGGCCCTCGAAGAGAAGGGAGCAAAGGGCGCGCGGGGTCCGGGGAACGGCTCTCGTGGGGGCCCAGGGCGGCACGACAGCCCCCGAGGCACGGGGGGGGGGGAGGCGAGGCTCCAGGAGGTCGGCAGGGCCTCCCGTCCTGGAGCGTGAGGGCGAGGAGGGCCTCACCTTGCTGCGATCCTCCTCTTGTTGCTGCAGCAACTCGGGAACCGCGGCCATGGCGACGCGGGCCTCGAGCGGGGGCAGCCTGGCTGTGCGAGGAAAGAAGAGGCTGGGCCGCCGCCGCCTCCGGAGAGCCTCACGGGGGCGGCCGCGGCCCCGCCTCCGCCAGCCTCCCTGCCCGGTGGCAGCAGGAGGCCTCCGGACTCCGCCACCATCCCAGCAGCCCCGGGAAAGGCCAGCAGCGCGCGCCACGTGCTCCCCCAGAGCGGCCTCCCCCGTCCCCGCAGCCGTCCATCTTGGAGCCGGGCAAAAAAAAAAAAGCTATGCGTGGCCTACCCTCGCTCCGGGCCACGCGGAAACCGCCGTCCGCAGGGCCGCGAGAAGGACTCGGAGCAAGGAGCACTCCAGCAGCAAGGCGCCTCTCAAGAAAGCCCGCGCTCTCGTGCGGGGGAATTTATCACTCAGCCAGAGTCCAAGATGGCGACGGGCTGTGACGTAAAGAAGATCTCGTGAGAGAGTGAGGGCGCGATTTGGAGGAGCCCGCGCGAACGCTCGGGGGGAGGGACGCCCCAAGGGTCGCGGGAGCGTCTCCAGTGGTGAGGAAGGGGCCCGCAATGGGGCGTGAGCGCCGCAGCGCATGCCGGGATCGCCGCCCCTTAGGCGGGGCCTAACTCGAGCTCAGAGCGCGGGACGGAGGAAAGTTGTCGGCGCTCTGGAAGTCGAGCGAAGTGCGGCGGCTTTGAGGTACCTCCCCGGGCCGTGAGCGGTCTCTTCCCTAAGCCTGACTTCCACACGAGGGGCCCGGCCGTCCTGTCCCGCCGCGCTTCTGCACGCTGGGCGGAGCGGGAGGCCCCTCCTGGGGATCGCGACGGTGGGCCCCTCTGACCCCCTCCCCCGCTCCTCCCTGGGGCGGCCCTTCTGGAGCTCAGTTTCCGCGACTGTAACGCGGTGACGGCGCGGCCCTCGTCGAACCCCCTGCCCAGGCGGACTGAACACCGGGGACGTCTGGCCGTTCAGCAAGTGCTGGTTCTTCCGGCTCTTTTTTTTTTTTTTTTTTTTTTTTTTTACTTATTTATGATAGTTACACACACACAGAGAGAGAGAGAGACACAGGCAGAGACACAGGCAGAGGGAGAAGCAGGCTCCGTGCACCGGGATTCGATCCCGGGCCTCCAGGATCGCGCGCGCCCTGGGCCTTTAAAGGCAGGCGCCAACCCGCTGCGCCACCCGGGGATCCCTCTTCGCGCTCCTGAAGAGAGTTTTGCTTTGGAAATAGCTTTGTCCAAACATGTCGAAAAATGTTAATGGAATGCGGTTGAAGGCACCTTGTACCGATGCGGCCACATCCTCGCCGTTCACGTATTTAATACACCTGGTATCTAATGACATTTTTCTCTCTCATAGGAGTGCAAAAATAAAACGCCTTCGATATTGCAAGTAGATCAGAGGGAAGTGAGAAAGCTTCTAAAGATGAAGGCGTTTCAGACCATCTGCAGGCAGCTCAGAAGCTCAAGGTGGTTTTCTCTAGAACCAACCGCCCATGTGGATTTCTCCACTTCTTCTTGCGCGTGTAGCCGAAAGAAAAAGGTGAGCCCTTATGAGGAAGTGGACCAAGGAAAGTACTCCGATTTAGTACAGTCTGTCTTGTCGTCCAGAGGCCTTGCTCAGACTCCAGAATCCTTGTTTGAGGAAGATGATTTACTGTATGGCCCTGTGAGTAAGTGTAAGCCCCCAAAGCAAGATGAGAAAGCAAGAGTTCCAGGAAACTGGTGTCCTCTCTTCAACCCAGAGAGAATAAAGCTAAATGCAACAAGTACTCCTACAATTCCTTTGAAAATCCCTCTGCAAAGAAATAAGATACCAAGTGTAACCAAGATCCTTCAGCAGACCATGACATCGGAACAGATTTTCTACTTGGAGAGGTGGAAAAAGCGGATGATTCTGGAACTGGGAGAAGATGGCTTTGAAGAATATTCCTCAAGTAATTTTCTCAGTCCTGGTTCTATATAGTTACTGTGTTTTCTAGAATATAGAGCACTAGTGTCAAAAAGAGTAAGGGTGTTTTTTGACCTGAACCAGGGAGGTGCTACCTTCAAATGATAATTAGCATTAAATAGCACTCTGTGCATATTTTTTTTAATTTTTATTTATTTATGATAGTTACACACAGAGAGAGAGGCAGAGAGAGAAGCAGGCTCCATGCACCAGGAGCCCGATGTGGGATTCGATCCTGGATCTCCAGGATCGCGCCCTGGGCCAAAGGCAGGCGCCAAACCGCTGCGCCACCCAGGGATCCCGCACTCTGTGCATATTAACTAAAAACCTCATGAAAGCCCTATAGGTATATTATTCTCATTTCACAGATGAAACCGAAACACGGCGAGCAAGTAATTTGACCAAATGATGTAGAAAATCCTTTTATAAACTGCAAACTTAAATATTAGAGCTGCTTGTTTTCTTTAAGGAAAAGAATCAATCACCTGATAAATGGAATTCTACTTGTTTGCCAGGCATTCTAGTCAGAAGGTAGTAAATACCCCTTGCTCTACTTATCCTCATTGACATGTAAATTTAAACACTAGCGATAAATCGGAACACGTGGTTTGTATTTCGATTTTGGTAAATTGAGATAATCTGATGCTCTTGATTAGTAACAATAAACTTCAGCTTTCAACTCCTAATTTACTAACTTGTTAGGCAAGGAGAATAGCTTCCTTTAAACAGGTTCCATTCAAAAACAAGGTGAAAGACCATTGGTACAAGTGAATTAGCTGGTCCCACTCAGGATTATATGGTTGTCTTTTGTTAAAGCTAGGTTTTACATTGATCAATCCGTAGCCCCATGCTTCTCAGCAGTACGTAATAACCCTAGTGGTTTGTACAGAGCACTTTTAATTTTAAGAGAAATGCACTTATTTTGTACCATCTTAGAAAAAACTGTCGGTAATACAGTAAATGTGTGGTCACGTGTTTCAATAAGTATTTATGTAGACAGCACCTGGATATGGCAAAAAATGGTCAAGGTCCGAACATTCCTCAGCTGTGAGGAGGGAGGAATCTATGCAGGAGCTAACTGCCTTTAGGTATTAAGTAGCAACCATTAAGCTTTCTAAACAACATAAAATGAAATCTTTTAATGGCATCTCACATTTTTTATTTGTACCTCTAAGACTTAGAATTGACGTTGGTTCCTCATGGGAAGTTGTTTTTGAGTTTCCTTAAAGCTGGGTTATCAGAACTTGTGGAATCCTGAGATCACTGAGAAGAAAAGTAAAGGCAGAAACCTACTTAGTACTTTGGGAACCTAGGACTTGTATGTAGCCCGTGGCACAAAGCAGAAAAGTACTCTGGAGGCCCCCTTGATATAGAGAGAGTTTCTTTTGGGAAGGTGAAGGTGCTCCACTATCCCAAGCAGAGAGAAAACTGGTTGTTTTCCATATAATCAACTTTGTTGATCTCGATTTCTCTGATGTGTTTCTCAGTTAACTCAAGATCAATTTTAAGAAACGGGCAGAATCACTTTTTCCCCCCCTGTAAGAGGCAGTCATAGGAAGATTAGTATCATGCTCTTCCCCAAACGATAAAAAAGGGAAAAAAAGAAAAACCATGTCACAATCCACTAAATTGATGAATAGGTCAGGAGAGACAGGTTTTAAAATACTGTATTCATAAATCCTGTCCTCCTGCTCTCCCCAAAGGCTAGATAGAGCATAGAGATATGCCCAGAGCTGGCATTCTCGAAACATTTAGTCAATATCACAAGCATCAGCTTACCTTTTGAAGATTGCCAAGAATAAGAAAGTCTGACTTGGATTTTATATTTAAAGTGTTGATCATAGTGGAAAGGGCTTGGGTTTATTTTTTGTTTTTTACTGCAGTGACTTTTTAATCTTGAAATATTATCCATCATGCCAGTTTATCAGAATCTTGGAGATTAATGGAATATTTTTTTATGCACTTTATAATGCTGGGACTGGAAAACATTTCACTTTCATTCCTTTTATTGAATGAGTATTCTGACTTGATGCTATCTGCAATAAATCTTGTGCCTTTTATTTTTTTTTTTAATTTTTATTTATTTATGATAGTCACAGAGAGAGAAAGAGAGAGAGGCAGAGGGAGAAGCAGGCTCCATGCACCGGGAGCCCGACGTGGGAATCGATCCCGGGTCTCTAGGATCGCGCCCTGGGCCAAAGGCAGGCGCCAAACCGCTGCGCCACCCAGGGATCCCTCTTGTGCCTTTTAAATTTTACTTTGATAAATTCAGTTATATTTAATGTTCTGAGCCTTACAATCTCGCAGATCCTATAATCTAGATTCCAGTGTTTGTTGCCTCTTATATGTGAAGGACCCAGCCAAGGGTTAAGCCTGCAGTGGAGAATGAATTGTTTTTTACTTGGCATTAGATAAAGCAGTTTGTTTTCTTCCTGTTTTGACTATGTTTGTGTTCTGCGTCATTAATCTAGTTTATAGATGAATACTGTACTTTTACTTAGGTTTTAATTCCATCTGTCTTAAATTTTTGTAGGCTAATAATCCAATTGAGCCAGGTAAATTTGGAGTGTAATAATTCAGTTCTTTAGCTGAATTTCATTTAAGTCCACAAGAAATTTCCCAGAAGTGATTCCAATTTTTTGCCAGTGGTAGAAGAACTGACCTTTCAAAATATTGGTAAAATAGTATTTGACAAATGTAATGTGCTTGAAATTACCCGATTAGATGAGATTTTCCTTATTTTCTGGGGGTCTTTTTCCCTGCATGAATATTTCCTACTCTGCTTCTGTATATATGTAAATGATGGTCCCTAATTTTGCCATCCTCACTCTGCTGTATGATGGACTGGAATTGAACATGGTCTCTATTGCCAGGCTGCTAGTCTACCTTTTTTGCTTTCAGGCAAATTAAGAATATTGTGTGGGCCTCACTCGTTAAACTGGGAGTAATGATTCTTATATCTTGCTGGATTGTTGTGTTTGAAAGTTAAATAATATTTTGAAAGCGCCAAGATCACTGTTTAGCACAGTGCCTCCTCTTTGTTTCCTTCCCTTTTCAGGGGTCAAGTGAATATGTAGAATTTCTTGGATTTGTTTGTGTTGTCTTCAGAGTGTATGAGGATATACAGATATCAAATCATTTTGTTGTATACCTGAAATAAATACAATCTCATGTCAGTTATACATCAAGTTTTTTTTTTTTTAAAGATTTTATTTATTCAAGAGAGACACAGAGAGACAGACAGGCAGAGACATAGGCAGAGAGAGAAGCAGGCTCCATGCAGGAAGCCCGATGTGGAACTTGATCCTGGGACTCCAGGATCACACCCTGAGCCAAAGGCAGACGCTCAACTGCAGAGCCACCCAGGGATCGCTCAAAAAAAATTTTTTAAGCATATGAGGAAAAATTTCAGGACAGAGCTACTGTTTAAGCTGTTCTAGTCCCCTCGAAAAGTACAGAAGAGTGTTACATATTTCCTCTCCTTGCCCCCAAGTCCCAAAACATCCAATTTGTTTTTAATTTGTATAAGCCTTGATTTTCATTCCTTGTCTATTAGTAAAAAGATTCCCTCTACCTATGTTCATTAACTCAGTGTTAGTCATAAAAAGAACTGTGAACAGAAGCCCTGTTCCTTCTTTCTAATAATTATCATAACTAGTTAAGTTACTAAAATGGATACTTAAATTCATAGTACCATACATTACGTGTGGTCTTGTTATCCCCAGATCTTCAACTGCAGCTTTGGCCTAATTCTACTAGAAATTCTTCATTTTAACTTATTTTTTTAATTCAAACCATTTTAATCCCTTTGGTTTTCTTTTTTTCTTTTTTTTTTAAGATTTTATTAATGAGAGACACAGAGAGAGATTGGCAGAGACATAGGCAGAGGGAGAAGCAGGCTCCATGCGGGGAGCCGGACGCGGGACTCCATCCCCGGTCTCCAGGATCACACACTGGGCTGAAGGCGGCGCTAAACCGCTGAGCCACCCGGGCTGCCCTCCCTTTGGTTTTCAAAGTATATTCTTAGATTTCACAGGCTAAAATGTGATATCTTAGCAGTTATCACTTAAAGATAATTTATGGAGGCAGCCCGGGTGGCTCAGCAGTTTAGCACCGCCTTCAGCCCAGGGCCTGATCCTGGAGACCCACGATCAGGCTCCCTGCATGGAGCCTGCTTCTTTCTCCCTCTGCCTGTCTCTCTCTCTCTCTCTCTCTCTCTCTCTCTCTCTCTCTCTCTCGCTGTGTGTCTCATGAATAAAAAAAAAAATCTTTAAAAAAAAAAAAACCCTAAACATCTAAAAAAAGATAATTTATATAATTTCTAATTTTATTGTTCAGAGGGTTTTAAGTATTTGTTTTTTAGTACTAGCTTTTTGTTTGTTTTTCTTTTTCCCCTGATTTCTTTTCAGACATATTTTTACAAGGGAAACGGTTCCATAAAGCCTTGGAAAGCATACTTTCACCCCAAGGGGACTTGAAAGAGAGAGATGAGAATCTTGAATGTGGATATGTTGAAAGTGTTCAGCATATTCTGAAAGATGTCAGTGGAGTGCGAGCTCTGGAAAGTGCTGTTCAACATGAGACCTTAAAATATGTGGGTCTACTGGACTGTGTGGCTGAGTATCAGTAAGTATCAGAATTTTTTTTCCATCAAAGTGTGGAGATAAATTAATGCGGGTAGGACAGATGATGCCTGTCAAACAGTATTTTTTCTTCTAACCTGCTGTTTCAAGATATAGCCATGTGAAATAAAAACATGTGATACTATAAAAGAGTTGGGTATGGGGCAGGAGGTAAAGACATACAGGAGGAAGAGCCTCATAATTGTAAATCTGTGTTCCAAAATCAAAGTGTGTGTATGGTGGAGAAAAGGTATAATTTTTCAATATCCAGCATGTTCCTTCTCCCCTAACCCCAAGCAAGCTACCAACCACTAGATCCAATTTGCTGGGGCACCTGGGTGGCACAGTTAAGTGTCCAATTCTTGGTTTTGGCTTAGGTCCTGTTCTCAGGGTCCTGAGATCAAGTGCTGTATTAGGCTCTGTGCTAAGTGTTGTATCTGCTTAAAACTCTCTCCCCCTCTCTCTGCTCTCCCATGTACTTGTATGCACACGCTGTCTCTCTCTCTCTCAAATAATTCTTAAAGATCCTATTTGATTTCTGCATTCTCTTTCCCATTTCCCTAAAAATAGCACCTTGATCTGTTAGCCCTGAAAATCATTTCTTTCCCTGGCTTCCATGCAGCGTTTGCTGTGGATAGGAACTCTGAGCTTACTTAAGCTTCCTGTGGTTTGTAAATTGCTGCTGTGTTACTATTTTTCCCACATACTCCAGATTCCAAAAAAAAGGTTGTAAGCCACACACCATGATAGGTCAAAAACCTGTGAATGTAACTCTTGGAACTCCAGTTAAAATTTAAACTAAAACAAATTGACAGTGTTCAAGCCCCCTAACAGTTTTGTGCCATAGCTGCCTCATATCTGAAGAACTCTATGTGCCTAGAAACTCAGTAAGCTATTTTTAGTTGCCCTGTAACCAAGGTGGCCATGCCATCCGTTCTACCCAAGGCCTACAAGAAGTTCGTGACACCAGACACTTCACACAGTGCTGTCCACAGTACCAATGTACCTCATGTGGGTGGAATCAAAATATTTGCCTTTTTGTGACTGACTTATCTTTATCCTGGCTTTTGATGCATAATATTTAAAATTTTTGCCTGTAAGCCAGTTTGTCTATTTTTTTGTTGCCTGTGCCTTTGGTGTCCTATCTGGTAAAGAGGAGGCAGAGACACAGGAGGAGAGAGAAGCAGGCTCCATGCCAGGAGCCCGACGCGGAACTCGATCCTGGGACTCCAGGATCGTGCCCTGGGCCAAAGGCAGGCGCCCTGGGCCAAAGGCAGGCGCCAAACCGCTGAGCCACCCAGGGATCCCCATTTAGGTCTTTAATTTCTTTCAGCAATGATTTGAAGTTTTAATTGTATAAGTTTCAGGATCCTTGATTAATTCCCAAGTATTTTATTCTTTTTGATGTTATTATATGGAATTGTTTTTGTAATTTCCTTTCCAGATTGTTCATTGTTTATGTATAGAAATGTAGTTGACTTTGTATCCTGCTATTTTGCTGAATTTATATAGTCCTACCAGTTTTTGTGTGGATTCTTTAGAGTTTTTAACATAAAAGATCATATCGTCTGTGAACAGAGATAGTTTTACTTCTTCCTTTCTAATTTGGATGCTTTTTTATTTCTTTGTCTTGCCTAATTGCTCTGGCTAGAACATCCAGATGCTGTTGAATAGAAGCAGTGAAAGCAGACAGCGTTGCCTTGTTCTTGATCTTAGAGGAAAAACTTCCAGTCTTTCATCATTGAGTATGATGTTTGCTGTGGGCTTTTTATATATGGTTTTTGTTATGTTGAGGTAGTTTTTTTCCTAATCCCTAGCTTGTTGAGTATTTTTTTCATAAAGGGAATTTCATTTTGTCAGATGGTTTTTCTTCATCAATAAAGATGATTATGTGGTTTCCTTCATTCTGTTAATAAGGTATATATCACATTGGTTGATTTTTGTGTGTTGAACCATGTTTGCATTCTAGGACTAAAGTTCACTTTATCATGGTGTATAATTCTTTTAATATGTTGCTGAATTTGATTTGCTAGTATTTTGTTGAAGATTTTTGTATCAATGTTCATAAAGATTAGTATTCTGTAGTTTTCTTGTGCCTTTTTTTAAAAAGATTTTATTTATTTATTTATTTATTTACTTACTTACTTACTTACTTACTTATTTATTTGATAGAGCCCTGCTGCGGGGCTCAATCCCAGAACCCTGGGATCATGATCTGAGCTGGAGCAGATACTTAACCAAGTGAGCCACCTAGGTGCCCCTCTTGTAGCATCTTTGTCTGGATTTGGTTTCAATCTATGCTGGATTCATAGAATGAGTAAGAATGCCCTCCTTTTCAATTTTTTCAGAAAAGTTTTAGCATTGTTATTAGTTATATCAATGTTTGGTGGGGTTCCCCCATAAAGTCATCAGTCTAGGGCTTTTACTTGCCAGGAGATTTTCGATTAATGATGAAATCTCTTTCTAATTACAGAGCTGTTTAGATATTCTATTCTTCATGATTTAATTCTGGTAGGTTTTGTGTTTCTAGGAATTTGTTTATTTCATTTAGGTTATCCAACCTGTTGGCATATGATTTTTCATAGTGCTCTCATCCTTTCTATTTCTGTAGAATTAGTAATAATGTCCCAGTTTCATTTCTAATTTATGTAATTTGAGTCTTCTTTCTTTTTTCTAAGTCCATCTAGGTAAAGGGTTGTCAATTTTGTTGATCTTTCCAAATAACCAGTGTTTAGTTTCATTGTTTTTTTGTTCTGTTTTGTTTTGTTTTCCTGTCGGTTTTCTCTTCTGAATTTCATTTGTCTCTTCTCTCATCTATTTTATTTCTATTCTACATGCTTTGGATTTACTTCTTTTTGTTTGTTTTGGATTTTTTGTTCCTTAAGTTGTAAGGTTAAGATGTCGAATTGATTCTTCCTTGCTTCTTAATGTAAGTATTTATTCCTATAAAGCTGCCCTAATACTGTTTTCACTGTTCCCATAAGTTTTGGTGTGCTGTGTTTTCATTTTTGCTCACTCCAAGTATCTTCTGATTTTCCCTGTGATTTCTTCTTCTTTTTTTTTTTTTTTTTTTAATTTATGATAGTCGCACAGAGAGAGAGAGAGAGAGAGAGAGAGAGAGAGAGGCAGAGACACAGGCAGAGGGAGAAGCAGGCTCCATGCACCGGGAGCCTGACGTGGGATTCGATCCCAGGTCTCCAGGACCGCGCCCTGGGCCAAAGGCAGGCGCTAAACCGCTGCGCCACCCAGGGATCCCTGTGATTTCTTCTTTGGTTGATTTTGTTAATTTTCACAAATTTGTGATTTTTTTTTTGTTTTACATCTTTTATTAATTTCTGACTTCATCTTGTGATTAGAGAGGATACTTTGTGTGGTATCTTTTTAAATATATTGAAACTTAATTTATGGCCTAATGTATGGTTTGTCCTGGAAAGTGTCCTGTGTCTACTGGAAAAGATGTGCATTCTGTTGTTGGGTAGAAAGAACTATATGTCCATTAGATCTAGTTGGCTTATTGTGTTGTTTTAAGTCCTTTATTTCCTTACTTACCTTCTGTCTGGTTCTATCCATTATTGAAAATAGGTATTAAAATCTCCAACTAGGGGATCCCTGGGTGGCGCAGGCTCCCGGTGCATGGAGCCTGCTTCTCCCTCTGCCTGTGTCTCTGCCTCTCTCTCTCTCTCTCTACTATCATAAATAAATAAAAATTAAAAATAAATAAATAAAATCTCCAACTATTATTATAGAACTGTATTTCTGGGGCACCTGGCTGACTCATTCAGAAGAGCATGTGACTCTTGATCTTGGAGTTGGAGTTAGAGTCCTATGTTAGATGTAGAGATTACTTAAATAAAAATAAAGTTTAAAAAAAAAACTATTTCTCCCTTCAATTTTGACGGTTTTGCTTCATATATTTTGCTAGTCTGCTACTAGGTGCATAAATGTCTATAATTGTTATATCTTTTTGGTGTAGTGAACCTTTTTATTAAATATGTCTGTTTTTGCCTCGTCTTTTTTTTATTTAAAGACTTTTGTCTGCTGTTAGAGCCATCTTTGCTTTCTTCCAGTTACCATTTGCACAGAATATTTTCTGTCTTTTTACATTCACCCTATCTGTGTCTCTTGTAGACAGCATGTAGTTGTTGAATCGTGTATTTTATCCATTCTGCCAATCTCTATCTTTTGATTGAAGAGTTTAATCTATTACATTTAAAGTAGTTAGTGATAAGGAGAGACTTCTGTCATTTTGTTATTTGTTTTCTATAGGCATTCTAGCTCTTTCGTCTCATTTCCTGTAGGTTACTGTCTTCTTTTGTGTTTTGTTTCCCTTTTTGTAGTGAAGCATTTCAATTATTTTCTCATTCCCTTTATGTATATTCTGTAATATATTCCTTGTGATTTCCTTGTGATTACCATAGGGATTACATTTAACATCCTAGTTATAATGCTGTAATTTGAATTTGTACCAACCTAACTTTGACATACAAAAACTCCTTTAACAGCTTTGTCCCTATCCCTTTCAATTATTGATGTTACAAAATTGTCTTTATATATTATGTGCCCCAAAACATAAACTAATAATTTTTTAGGCTTCTTAATCTCTTATATTATGTAGAAAACAAACCACTGACCCTCCACTCACCCATCCATGGGCCCCTTCCTTTCATTGCCAGCAACAGAATACTACTGGTAGGATAAGGTTAAAAGTTAGAAAGGGAGTCAGTATGTCTTCAAAAGTACTTTGGAACATGTCTAACTCAGGATCTTGCAAAAGTGGCAAGAATTCGCCTGGTGGATCCAATAGAATGTGTAGTATTATGGATATACAAGTGTAAGGAAATGGACTGGAGCAACTGAGACAAAAAAAAACTTGGAGCATAAATGAGAACTAGCTCTGATGGGGCAGGAAATGATGCAGAGACTCAAGTCAGAGGAGCTCCATTTCAGCAGCAATAGCTGATACTCCAGCTGGAGTTGAAAGTGCAAGAAAAAGCCTAGGAGAAC